CTACTACTACTACTACGTCTGTTGCAAGTACGACGGCAACGCCGACGACGACTACTCCAACAACTACTATAACTACGACTACTGATACTGCTACTGCCATTACTGCTAGTACTACGACTACTACGACTGCTACTACTACTACTACTACTACTACGACTACTACGACGACGACTACGACCACGACTACTACTACTGCTACTTTGACTGCTACCACGACTGCTACTACTACCAGTACTACCACTACTACTACTACTACTACTACTACTACTACGACGATTACGATTACGACTACGACTACGACTACGACTACTACTACTACTACTACTACTACTACTACTACTACTACTACTACTACTACTACTGCTGACCTTGATACTACTACTTCTGACGACTAGACTACTGCTACTACTACTGCTACTACTACTACTACTACGATTACTGCTACCACGGCTACGAGTACTACTACAGCTACTACTACTTCTTCTTCTACTACTACTTCTAGGACTCCTACTACTACTACTACTGCTACTACTACTTCTACGACTACTTCGACGACTACTACGACTACGATTGCGCCTTCGACTACGACTACTACTGTACCTACTACGCCTACTACTGCTACGACTACTACTACTACTACTACTACTACTACTACTACTACTACGACTACTACTACTACTACTACTACTACTACTACGGCTGCGACTGCTACTATTTGTCATACTACTACTACTGCTGCTACTACTACTACTACTACTACTACTACTACTACGACTACTACTACGACTACTACTACTACTACTACTACTACTACTACTACTACTACTACTACTACCCCTACGACTACTCCTACTACTACTACTACTACTACTACTACTACTGCTACTGCTACTGCTACTGCTACTGCTACTACTACTGTTAATAACACCACCACCACTACTACTACTACTACTGCTACTACTACTACTACTACTACTACTACTACTACTACTACTACTACTACTACTACCACTACCACTACCACTACCACTACTACTACTACTACGGCCACTACTACTGATACTACGGCGCCCACTATTACCTCTACTACTACCACTACCACCGCCACTACTACCACTACTACCACTGCTACAACTACAACTACTACTGCTGCTACTAAGACTACTACTACTACTACTACTACTACTACTACTACTGCGACTACTACTACGACTACGGCTACGACTACGACGACGCCTACGACTACGACTATAATTGCAACTACGACGACGACGACGACGACGACGACGACGACGACGACGACGACGACTACTACTACTACTACTACTACTACTACTACTACTACTACTACTACTACTAACTACTACTACTACGACTACTACTACTACTACTACTACTACGACTACGACGACTACGACTACTACTACTACTACTACTACTACTACTACCACCACTACTACTACTACTAACTACTACTACTACTACTACGACTACTACTACACTACTACTACTACTACTACTACTACTACTACTACTACTACTACTACTACTACTACTACTACTACTACTACGACTACTACTACGACTACTACTACTACTACTACTACGACGACTGCTACTACTACTACTACTACTACTACTACTACGACTACGACTACTACTACGACTACGGCAACTAGTACTAACATTACTACAACTACTACTACTACTACTACTACTACTACTACTACTACTACTACTACTACTACTACTACTACTACTACTACTACTAGTAGTACTGCTACTACTACGACTACTGCTACTACTACTACTACTACTACTGCTACTACTACTACGTCTGTGCCCTCGATTTCTGCTACTACTACGACGAAGACGACTACTGCTACTACTACGGCTCCACTCTTCCAGTTGTTATAGGAAGGGCTTGTAGTCCTGCCTCGTCTCTCCTCTCCGTAACTCCTTGTCCTCGCACCGTGGTGCCTCAAATGTTCGGGTGTCTCCAGTGCTGCTGTCCGCGTTCCTCCTTCTTCTGCTCCTCCTCCTCCGCGTCCCTCCTCACACTCCTCCTCCTAACCCGGCTATCCCGTCACGACTGCCTCGGCCTTTCTATAGCAACGGTGATCCCAGGAGGCAAGTTCTCACCAATCAAACCAGCCTCCTCCGCCGAATTCTCCTCAACCGACTCCGCAACACCACCCCTGAAACGGCGACCGCCAGACTTGTCCAGGAGTGCGTTCCGATCATAATCTCAAGGGCCACCCCGCCGTGACGACCAAAGCTCCCAGTGACAAACAAAAAGCCCCCGCAGCGTCAAAAATACTGGATCCTAGAACCTCGATTATCATCCCCATCATCGGCATACTCACCATGATCAGCATTATCAGCAAACTGCATGTTTGGGGGGACGTCATCCCTGGGCCCTCCTTTTCTGAACGCGTGGCACGCTTGTTCTCTCTCTCTCTCTCTCTCGCTTTCTCTCTCTCTCTCTCTCTCTGTCTCTCGCGTTTTTTTTGTTTGTTTTTTTGGTTTCTTTTTCTCTCTCTCTCTCTCTCTCTGGTTTTGAATGTTATGTGGTTGGTTTCTCTCTCTCCCTCTCTCTTTCTCTATCTCCCCTCGCCTACTTATCAATCGCTCCCCATCTCTCTCACTCGCTCATGCCTCTCCCTCGGGCACCCCCCCTTCTCTTCCCGTCCGCTCGGCCATCGTCGCTGTCATCGGTTCAGGGAGGGCCGTGTACCTCGCCATCGTCCTGGACGTACCGTCGCTGCTGACGCTTCTGATTGACTTCTGAGGACTCTGCACGGATCCATTATCGCCCAAGAAAACCCAAAGAAGGGCCCAAAAAGGCGCCATGACGACCCAGTGAACTCCCAAGAGCGCCCTAAGAGGGCCCCAAGAGAGAACGTTGAGGGTTCCGACTTGGGAGGCGCTAGTCCCACCAGCCCTCTGGGCGTCGGTGGTTTGGGACGTTTCCTCTTCCACCCCTCTTTCTTCCCTTTCGGGGGGGGGGGGGGTATCCCTCCCCCTACCCCCTCCCCTGGACCTGAACGGGGGGTTTCGCGAGTCGGCGGGGCGACCAAAACGGCCTCGGCGAGGAAACCAAAATCATTGGTGTTACTACGGTGTTGGCCCCATGTTGGCGTTTTGGGTGGGGGTCGCTATTTGAACACCCCCCCTCCTGTGATCGATCTCGCCCAGGATGGCCCAAAGATGGCCCCCAAGGCTCCCAAGGGTACCCCAAGAGGCGGCCAGGAAGCCCAAAGGGCCCCCAGGATGCCCCCAAGAGGCTCCCAAGCGACCCCCCAAGAGGCCCCACAAGACCCCCCAGAGGCACACAAGATGCTCCAAGAGGCCGCGGCGAGAATGCCAAATTATTGGTTCTACTAAGGTTTTAGCCACATGTTGGCCTCTTTGGGGGGGCACTGATTAAGATGACTCCGACGGCGCCTGGGAGAGCCCAAGATGACCTCTAAGATGGCTCAAGATATCCCAAGATGTCTCATAATGGCTTCCTCTGTGTGCTACCCACTTCCCAGATCGAGGCAATTCCTCTGGGCATCGTTTCTGGATGGGCTGGTGGGGATTTTTTTCGCCGCAAACGCAGGCGAGAGCGCCAGCGGCGTGTCAAGTCCGAGCGGGCCGCGCAAGAGCCGAATTACCACTGGTGGGGATTCGTTTTTTTGGTCGGCGGCCGCGCGACAACGGTCTGGCGGCAACAGGCGATGTCCGGGACGGCGGTACAAAGCCAATTGCACACAAGGCGTGCGGTGCACGTGCACACTAGTGGGGATTCGCGAAGCGTCAACAATCTAGATCCTGTCCTTCTTGGATCGATGGCCTCCACGATGACCCAAGGGACCGCCCAGGAAGTCCCCAATAGTGCCCCCAAGAGGCACCAACAGAAAACCCCAAACATCTCAAACATGGCAACGCGAGGGCCCAAATAAGCTGCCAAAAGGCTACTATATCGAAAGATCTGCGAAGGCATTTATGGTTGACCCCTGGGCCTGCTAGGGCCGATCAGGAGCCTTCAGTTTGCCAGCTGTCCCCCTCTTTGTTCCACTGCTTGCTCCTACACTCCCCTGATCTAGGCAACTCGCCCAGGCATCGTTTCTGGATGGGGTTATGGGGTTGTTGTTTTTGGTCGGCGGCTCCGAGGCGGCGGACAGGGAGCGGAACGCGTCGTCTGGGCCAGCAGGCGAGGCTAATTAGTTACAACAGGCAACGCACCTGCAGTAAACATTCGCAAAGAATGCGAGGTGTGCACACGCATTAAGCAAACTGCTCCACATTAAGGCAAACGCACCTAGGAGCCAGCCGCACCGAGGTGAAGCAGCCGCAGTGCTACGCAGCGGGAGAGTCGCCGGATTATGGGGTCACGCGTAGCGTCAATGATTAACTTGTGCCAGCAACGGGCGGAAGGGACACGTCCGCTTTCCTCGCTCTGAGTATTGGTCCTAAGACTAATCCACCTGTGCTTTGGGGGCAACATGCAGAAGCTGCTCCGACCGTGGCGACGAGAGTCCAGGACAAACGGAAAACGTCCAAAAAACTTGAGCCCATTTTTTGGTAATTCACAATGGGATCCACGCAATGAGATCCCCGTCCCAAGCAGCGCGTGGAGGCCAACCTAGAACACCAAGCAAGACACAAAGGCAGGCTGGGAGAGAAGGAAAAGGAGGGGCAGAGAAAGAGGATGGGGGAAGAGGGAGGGCTCAAGAGCGGAGGGAGGAGAACATTCTAACTTTTTCAATGATCGCCCCCCCCCCCCCCTTGAAATGCCTTGGGGGGATTAGCCGTGGCGTGTACGTGGGGTTGGCGGTGGGGGGAAAGTCGTTCGCTGCGTGCCGGGGGGGGTTTGGCCGCGGCGCGTCCGCGGGCGTGGCTGGAAGGGTTGGGATTTGCGCCCTTCCTTGCAGCAGTGCCCGGGGGGATTGGCCGCGCGGCGTTTTCACGATTGTTCCCCCCCGCTTGATTAACAAGAAGATTAAGAGCATGGAGAAGCATAGAAGAAAATAAAAACAAGAAGAAAAAGAAAGAACAACTCCATAGACATCAACTTTTGGCGCTCCGCGCGGATTTCTTCTTGGATCTGCGCTGGACCCCCCTCCCTGGCGCGCGGAGCGCGCCAGGGGCGGCGCCGCAGGCGCCGCCAGGGGGGCCCCGGCGCAGATCCAAGAAATCCGCGCAAGGCGCCAAAAGTTTATGTTTATGCAGTTTTTTTCTCTTTCGAAGAGTAGAGGGTGGAGGAAGATGAGCAGGAGGGAGGGCAAGAAAGGGGGGAACACGCCGAAGGAGCCCTTCCTCGTTTTCCCAGAGCGGCCCCGCTTCAGGCGCCTCGGGCAGCGTCGCCTTCGCGAGCTCGCTGGCGTTGACGCGCAGCGGGACCTGCCGTTGCGACGCCGGTCGCCGGCGCCCTCCCCTAGCGGCGCACGAGGGAAAGGGGGGGGGAAGGCTTCTTAGAAGCAGGCTGCTTCTCAGATGGCGCCAGCCCTACACGTACAGACAATAGAGGCCTCCTAGATGGGGTCGGAGTAGATGGGGTCGGAGGATCGCGCCGCATCGCCGATACATCGACGATGCATCGGCGGTGCATCTGCGATGCACTGGCGATGCATCGTTGACGCCGACGATGCATCGGCAACGTCGACATGAATCAAATCGAGCTCCACATCAAGCCGCATCGCCGATGCATCGGCGATGCGGCGCGATCCTCCGACCCCATCTACTCGCACCCCATCTAGGAAGCCTACAAGCAAGGCCCGCGCCTTCTACAGAGGCAGGGGTTCTTCTAAGAAGCCTTCCCCCCTCACCCTGCCCCCCTCTGCGCCAGGCCTGACTATATTAAAAAATGCTCGAACATATTCAGCCAAGGATTGAGCCCAAGATAAGTCCAATAATGAGCCAGGATAAACGGGATTCAGCGGAATAACAAAAGGGATTATGTAACATGAGGTCGGTTATGAAAGGAGGATGCGCCAGCGCCGATGCTGAATTAAACCTCCCAGGAACGGCATCCTGAGGAAGGCCTTCACTACGTGGCCTCCCCAGCCCACGCCGCGGCCTGACGGGGCTCCGTTTCCCTGTGAACTCCCGAGGATCAATCAAGGACCCGTGGTGCAATTAGGGGGACGAGGACCCAACACCTTCGACGTTCAGATCTGTTCGATCCGGGTGTTCCCTTCCCGCATCAGGAAGCCCGTGTCGGGTCCCAGGACAACTTTCCCACAACTTAAGATGACAAGCTGGCCCCGGGGAAGGGGTCGAGACGTCCAGGGACCCCCCAACAATGACAAAAAGTGTCGGGGTTCTTAGGATGGGAGGGGGGAGATAGTGATCTATGCTTTTTCTGAGGGAGGGGGGAGGATCAGGGGGGGGGGTCCGACAAATTGTGGAGGGACCTCGGGAGCACCGCTGGAGACCACCGCGGAAACATGCGGGGATCGGATCGGAAACCTATCGGGCCCAAACCCGGCAACGCGCGGTCTTAGTCAACTCCATGGCAAGATTTCAGCCACGAACCCTGGACAGAGCTCTGGCCCGAACGACGCACAAGACTCCGAAGCCGCATTTCTCCCAAACGCAATCAACAGGTGTAGGGGGGGGCGATGGTCTCGTCCTCCCGCCTCTTCATCCTCGCCCTCCTCATCCTGCTCCTGGATCTACTGGTCATCTCTCTCCTCCTCCTCCTCCTCCTCCTCCTCCTCGTTGTCTCCCTCCTCCTCCTCGTCCTCCTCCTCCTCTTCCTCCTCTTCCTCGTTCTCAATTTTCCGCTTCCGCTCCCGTTCCCCGTCCTCCTCGTCCTCCCCATGTTCCTCCTGCTCCCTGTCCGTGAACTCCTCTTTATCCTTCCTGTCCTCGCGGTCCTCGTCCCCAGCCGGCGACCTCCTCGTCATCTTCACCATTCCACCCCCTTGCACCTCCAGCCCTTCCTCCTCCGTCTCCTACTCATCGCACTCGTCCTCCTCCTCCTCCTCAACTTCTTCATCCACCCATTGTCCTACTACCCCTTTTCCTCCTCATCCACCCTTAGTCCGCCTCCCCCTCCCCTCCTCCTCATCCTCCTCGTCCTCTTTCCTCGCCTCCTCCTCCATCGCCCTCCTGCTCCTCGTCTTCTTCCCACTCCTCTTCGCACCCTTCTCCTCCTACGCCCTGTACTCCTCGTGCTCGCCCTTGTCATCCTCCTCCTCATCCACTTTGGCATTTACCCCTTTTCCTCCTCCCCTTGCAAAGACTAATTGAACCGACCGTGTCCCCGAGGGACCTCCAACATGACTGACCCACGACCGCGAAAATGAACTTAGAAATGTGAGGCATCAGAAAACTGTGAAGACGTCTGACTGGCGACGGGCAAATGCAATGATGAAGATATCGATGGTGGTGTACCGTGCCAAGGGCTGTGCTGTGTTGTGCCCTGCTGAGTTGAGACGTTCCATGCCGATTTAAACTGAGCTGTGCTCTGTTCCATTGTGGACCAAGTCGTCCTTGGCATCCCCATAACCCTCCCAGGGACCCAAAACCAGAGATTTGACCCCCCCGGCCCCGGACGAACGCGCCATGGGAGCATACAGGGCCCCAAAATGGGCCAAGAGGGCCTCAAGTGGGCCCCAAGACGATCCAAGAGGGCCCCGAATCGTCAAATGGTCGTTCCAAGACGCCCAAGATGGCATCCAGACGGCCCAATATGCCTCCAAAACACACCAAGAAGCCTCCAAGAGGCCTCCCAAAAGGTACCAAAGAAGTGAAAATTGCCACATTTCCTTAGGAAAAAGCATGCTTCAAACACATTCGCCTCTTGCGCTGTCATACCGTGCAAGACGGCCCAAAAGACCCATAGGACAGGTCCAAGACGGCCCACAAGGGTCCCAAGACCGCCAGAAAAGCCCCGATGACGGCCCCAGATGGCCACCGGACAGCGCCAAAAGGGGCCCACGGGGGGAACCCGAACCCACATTTCCAGCCTTCGGCCCCAGGACGCCCCCAGGTTGCCTCAAGAAGCCCCCATCACGCCCCAAGAAGCCTCCAGGGAACCCGAACAGAGCCCCCAAACGCCCCAAAGCACCTCCCAGGAATCGGACAAGCCTCGTGGAATACAGTCCTGGACGCGCAGTAGTTTACAGAGGGGTCGGCGGATGTGGCGTAAGCCTATAGAATCGTCCTTGGCATCCAGATCTTGACCGCACTAAGTTGAATGTAAGTTCGACCTGCCTGAACCCATAACTCGTCCAGAGCTGGTTGCAACGAAAACGTGCGGAACGATCAACCAACTCGGCTCAAGATCCGAATCTGTTCCGAAGCGAGACAAACCAACGGGGGCGAAGCATAACCTAGGCGAAACACACACCGACAGCGAACGGACCGAAACGCGGCGACCCGAGACGCGAAGAACAGAGACAAGACGAGCCGAAAGAATACGACCGGCGACGAGAGCCGAAACGATCCTACTCGAATCGACGCAAAACGAGCCGAGACTGGAACGAGCCGAATACGCGTCAGCTCACCCTTCTCAAACCATGTGGCATCTCGTCCCGAAGGAGCCACACTCCGAGGGCCAGGACCCCGGAGGGATGTGCGCGCCCCCATGGCTGCGATGCTGGCACGAAGTGCGATGGACCTGTGCTGTGCGGAACTGTGCTGCGTCATGCTGTGTGGATTTGTGCAGTGTTCCATTGCGATGTGGTTCTCAAGTCGTTGTTGATGTCCATACCTGAACCGGATTCATTTGAATCTGAGCTCGAGATGCCTGAACGCATAGCTCGCCCAGAGCTGGTTGCAATCAAGACGTGCGGGGCGCTCAACCAGCTGAAGATCAAGATCCGATTCAGCTCCGACGCAGAACCAACCAGCATTTGGCGAACCAACATCGAAGCGACACACAAACAAACACAAACACACACACACACACGCACCGACAGTGGAAGGACCGAAGCGCGTCGAGACGCGACGAAGCGAAACAAGACGAGCCGAAACAATTCGATGCGGGACCAGGGACGAACCTCGGAAACATACAACGCACGTGCGAACCGAACCCATGTAAAAACACAAACCATCCGCTCACTGGCGTGAAAGCACCAGCGTTTTTTTTAAGCACATATGTTTAGCTCATGGGCAAAAAGGGCCCATACAAAAACATATGGTTCAACTCACGGGCGATCGGAACTCGTGCAGCACAGACACGCCAATTTCAGCTCACGGGCGCACGGAACCCGTGTGAAACACACACGCTCACACACACACACACACACACACACACGCACCCACGCACGCACGCACGCACGCACGCACGCACGCACGCACGCACGCACGCACGCACGCACGCACGCACACACACACACACACACACACTTCGAGAGCTTACGGGCGAAAGCAGCCCACGTTTGGGTTTCGACTCACTGGCGAAAGGAACCCCTTGAAAGAACATGGGGCCAGCTCACGGGCGCAAGGAACCCACGTCACAAGCACGTGGTTTCAGCTCACTGGCAAAAGGAACCCATGCAGAGCCCCTCATTCCCTCGCGCCCTGGTGTCGCAAACAACGAAAACAAAAAACATAACGGTGCGCTCCGGAGCCCCGCGGACTGACCAAGGCCTGAGAAGGCGGGGTCGAGAGCTCTTGGAGGAGCAATCCAAAAACCGTAGAGCTACTCGGTGGTGGCTCCCGGGTCCGAGGGGGGGCGACCGCTTGCGATCGCAGCTGCTTGACGATGGGCAGGAAGCTCTGGCGGAGCTCCCGGGGCATCACGACGTTGAGGTCCCGAGCGACCTTCGGAGGCCACGCAGGGGGCGGATGGAGGGTGGGACGATGGGGGAGGATGAAAGAGGATGGGGGAGGGAGCAGGGGGTAGGGGAGGGGGAGGGGGGGAGAGGAGGAACTGGGGGGGAGAGGAGGAACGGGGGGGGAAGGAGCCAGAACGAGGGAAGAGATGGAGGAGGGATCAGGGGGGGGAGGAGAGGGTGGGAGAGAGGAGCGGGGGGGAGAGGAGGAACGGGGGATGAGAGAGAAAGAGAAGAGAGAAGGCAGGGAGGGGGAACGAAGATGGGGAGGAATGAGGAGCAGGAACGGATGAGGGACAAGAGCAAGGGAGCGACAGATGGAACGAGGAGGGCGAACATGATGATCGGAGGAGAAACAATTGAGCCATCCGCGGACATCCACGTCTTCCTTTTCCCTCCTCCTCCTCCTCCTCCTCCTCCTCCTCCCCCATCCTAATACTGCTCCGTCCACCTCATATCATACCCTGCCTACTACTCCTTCCTCGTCCGTTTCCGCATCCCTCCCAGGGCTCTTCCGCATCCTTTTTCTCACCGTCCTCACTTGACCCTCCTACTCATCATTAAACTTCCTCATCCTCCTCCCTCCTCTGCCCCCTCCCCCGCGCCAGGGGGCGCTACCTACACAACCATCGCTTGAGAGGAGGAGCAGGAGGAGGAGGAGGAGGAGGAGGAGGAGGAGGAGGAGGAGAAGGAGAAGGAGCAGCACCGAGAATCGAGAGGAGGAGGAGGAGGTTATCAGGAAGAGCAGAAATGAGGTACAGTGGGCGAGGGATGTAAGAAAGAGGATCTTGAATGAATGAACGAATGACTAGCAATTCTACTATCGAGAGCTGGACGCCACAGAGAACAAGCTGACTCGTGCCCTTTGGCTTGTCCCCCCCACAGCTTCATCACGACTCGATGAGGCCGCCTTGAATACGATGATCATCATGATGATGATGATGATGATGATGATGATGATGATGATGATGCTGATGATGATGATGATGATGATGATGATGATGATGAACACGAGCGGCAAGAGGAACAACGCAGCCCCCACTCGGCTCCCAGGTTGCTCTTCCAGGCCTTCTTCTCCCGCCGCTCCTCTCTGCTCTCCCCGCCACCGTCCATCTCCCTCCCCTCTGCACCCCTTCTCGTCCTCCTGCGTGTCTTCCTCTTCCCGCTCCCCATGTGTGCCCAATCTCGGTAGAACACGCGTGCAAGGAACTACACATAGCCAGAAGCAGAGACGAGTCTTGAAAGGATCAATGGTTATAAGCATCTCGAAGCAAACCATCGCAAATGTATGATTACGTTCCCAGACGAAATGAGTGCGGTCAGCGGACGAAGCGAGTGGCGCTGCGCCCTGAAGATGCCACATCACTTGCTGGAGCCCCTGGCTTGCAGCCCATGCCAGGAGAAACACCGGAGACGGGACGCATCCGAACCCGCACAAGTGCCTTGAGACATTCGACCTCTGTACCCGATCTAAGAACTCGGCACATATTATGGATACCCCTGCGGGTCCGTCCCCTCCTCCTCCTCCTCCTCCTCCTCCTCCTCCTCCTTCTCCTTCTCTTTCTTCTCATCTTCACCCTCATCCTCCATAGTCATTAGCCCCCTTGCTCTTCGGAAAAAACTCGCAAACCTATCTGGTGAAGCACCGGACCCCTCTTCCTACACGTATTTCTCCTCCTGCTACTCTCTATCCCCTTCCCTCCTCCGTCCCTCCACTCCCTCTTCCATCCCTCCCTCCTCGGCTCCATCAAAAGCTTGCCCCGCCTCCTCTCCTTGCTCCTACACCGTCATGATCCCGCCCCTCCTCGTCCTCCTCATCTCCATTTCTCTTCCTCCAACCTTTCCTCGCTACCCCGCCCTCCTCCCTCCTTCTCCCGTGCGCGTTTTCTCACGCGTCGGAACTCGCTTGTCTCTGAAGGAATATCAAGCGGCAGCCGCACGGTTGAGCACGCGCCAGGATCACCTTTTTTACTTCATTAAACGAAGCTGGGGAATCCGCCCCATGCCTGGGGGGCTGCGACTCCGCCCGCCAGGCCCAGGCGGCGTCCTGGCCACCTGACATCCTAGTAGTTGGGCAGCAGCGTCGAAGGCGCAAGACGGCCCCATCGAGGAGCGACAGCGCCTGCCACCGCCCGGCTCCTGCACACGAGAACCAGCGAGCACTGTGACCCCCTGACCCTGGTCTCCGAGTCGGGCGGGGACACCCTCCAGCACTCGACGCGAACCCTAAAAACCCACATCTGCCAAGCCAGCACCCTAGGCTGGGCAGGTCCAAAGGAGGAGGAGGAGGAGGAGGAGGAGGAGGAGGAGGAGGAGGAGGAGGAGGAGGAGGAGGAGGAGGAGGAGGAGGAGGAGGGAGGAGGAGGAGGAGGAGGAGGAGGAGGAGGAGGAGGAGAAGAGGAGGAGGAGGAGGAGGAGGAGGAGGAGGAGGAGGAGAGGAGGAGAGGAGGAGGAGGAGGAGGAGGAGGAGGAGGAAAGAGGAGGAGAGGAGAGGTGGTGGAGGAGGTGGTGGAGGAGGAGGAGGAGGGGAGGGAGGAGGAGGAGGATGATGGGGAGGAGGAGGAGGAGGAGGAGGAGGAGGAGCAAGAGCAGGAGGAAGAAAAACACAGCTAGCAGGCGCCAACATGCAGGAGGAGAGGGAGGGCGGCAAAGGTAGCAAGGCAGCAGGGGCGGGCGGGGGGCGGGGGCGAGTGGCGTCGGTTGAAGTCGTGGGCCGTCGTGGGTCGTCGTGGTTCAAGAGGTCGTCGTGGTCGTCGGGGGGGCTGCAGGCCGTTCAAGGTCTGGGGCCGTCACAACGGCGGGGCGTCGGGAAGGGCAGGCGGGATCGACGGCGGGGGCGGGCAGGGAGCGGTTCACACATCATCCGATGCGGCGGTTGCGTTGGCCGCGGCCAACCGCTCGGCCGTCGCGCCCGCTAGCGGCTGGAGGCGCCGCAGCACTGCCCGCGCATTTTCCCTGTGCAGGGAAATCGAAAATCGCTGGGCAAGCTGATCGGCCGCGAGCGCGGCGTCGTCACCAGTAGCGTCGGCCGCGCGCTTTGCGAGCACCGCGGCCGGCGGCGGCGCCTCGGACTTTCATGGGAGGGTCTCGCCCTATTCATCCTGTTACCGCTGTCAACGACCACGGTCCACTACATGGTTATTCTTCCCGTCATCGGTGAATTCCAAGTCTCATCAGCATCATCAGCAGCATCATCATCATCAGCATCACCATCAGCACCAGCAGCATCATCACCAGCATCAGCATCAGCAGCAACAGCAGCAACAGCATCAGCGTCAGCATTATCATCATCAGCATCATCTGCGTCATCGGCATCATCATCATCATCATCATCATCATCATCATCATCAGCAGCATGATCATCATCATGATCAGCATGATCATCGACATACTCCTCATCATCGTCGTAATCATCATCATGCTGCTCATCATCGTCGTCATCAGCATCGCCATCAACATCATCAGCATCATGGCCGCCATCACAAGCACAATCACCGTCAGCAGCATCAGCATCACCAACATCATCAGCATCGCTATCACCATCCTCAGCCTCATCCTCATTCGCATCATCATTATCATCATCACCAGCATCATCAGCATCATCATCAACATCAGCATCGACGTCGTCGTCATCATCGTTGTCACCATCACCATCACTACCATCATCATCAGTATCATCAGCATTAGTATCGGCACCACCACCATCGTCATCAGCAGCGTCATCATCATACTCTTATTCATCACCATCATCATCACCATCATCATCAGCATCATCAGCATCATCAGCATGATCGTCAGCAGTATAATCACCAGCATCATCGTCACCAGCATCAGCATCAACATCATCATCAACAACACCATCATCAACACCATCAGCATCAACATCATCATCACCACCATCGTCAAGTTACCATGCTCATCATCATCACCACCATCATAGCCGACATCGCCGCCTTCATCGTCATCTCCCCCCTCGCTTTATCCTGTTCATCGGCCCTCAAATGCATTTGAGTTCACTCTGGGGGGGGAGACACAAGCCTGCCTCTGTCTGTGAGGGGGGCCCTCCTAGCAGCCGGGAAGGCTCCGCGGCGCCGAGCACCAACCTCCCGCCTGCTCCTCCTCCTCCTCCACCACCTCCTCCTCCTCCGTCTTCCTCTCCCTTCTCATTGACCCTCATCCCTCCTCGAGCCTACATCATGCTAATCCTCCTCGCGCCTCCTCCTCCTCCTCCTGCCGCTTCTCTCCTCTCGCCTCCTCCTCTCTGGCGGTGGCTCGAGACCCCTTCCGCTACAGTGCCGCCCGCCCACGCACCATCGAGCACGCGTCGCATAATCAACCTCCTCGTCCCTCCCTCCTCCCTCCTCCGTCCTCGGTCCTCCCCTCCCCAGACTTCGAAACGACTCGTCTTACTAGAGTCGCCGGCCCCTGGACCTCTCGGCCCCTCCCCTGGCCCCTGGAGTGGTCCGCAGTCACCCGAGGTCCATCCTGCGGCTTTCCTCGATCTTCGATCCCTGTCCCCCATCATGAAACCCTCGTCGATCCACCTCCTCCTCCTCCTCCTGCTCCTCCTGCTCCACGGAGCCAAGAAGAGACGTACACACCCAGCCACGTACGTACATGAATACGGCCCCCCGTCCGCGAAGCCAGTCCCATGCTACGAACGTACGCGCAACGCGTGCCCTCGAAGCCCACGACTAGTAATGTGAACGTGCATCTCTGTTCGTTCGCTCTTGATTATCCTTCTCCTCCTCCTCCTCCTCCTCGATTTTAGATCCTGCTCTGATCCTCGACCGTCCTTCCCCTCCCCGTGCGGCTGGCCTTCTGGGCGTCCGACTGCAGCGCCTTGACCCGGAAGGAGGCCTCAGGCGGAGTGGCCAGGGGTCCCAGGGAGCGACTCCGTTGGCCCCCGCCTCCTCCCCATGGCCTCCAGCTTCCTCCTCCTCCTCCTCCACCTCCTCATCCTCCCCATGCTCACCTTCCTCCTCCTCCTCCTCCTCCTCCCTCCTCCTCCTCCTCCTCCTTCCTCCTCCCTCCTCCTCCCTCCTCCTCCTCCTCGCCTCCTCTCTCCTCCTCGCTTCCTCCTCTCCTCCTCCTCCTCCTCCCCAACTCCTTGTTGGTCCTTTCCCTCCCCCTCTCTCCTCCTCCTCCTCTTCTCATCCGCCTCCTCCAACTCCGCTGGTTGCTCATGCTGCTGCCTCCTCCCATCCTCCTCCTCTCTCTTTCAAGCTCCTCCTCCTCTTCTTTATCCTCCTCCTCCTCATCATCATCCTCCTCCCTCACCCCCTCCTCATCCTCCTCCTTCGCCTCCGTCTCCTCATCTTGCTCCTCCTCCTCCTCATCCTCCTCCGCATCATCCTAAGTTTGCGCTGGCGAACTCTAGGTGCGTGGTCTGCGGCGTCCGTGCCAGCAAAACCGATTGTGCAAAGTGTCACTGGAATTATGCGAACGGCACGTGCAGGACAGAAGGGCAAGGTCCTCCTCCTCCAGCGTCCACCTCCTCCGCCAGCGTCCTGCTCCTCCTCCTCCTCCTCCTCCTCCTCCTCCTCCTCCTCGCTTCGATCCACTACCGCCTCCACCCCCGTCGTCCTCCTCGTCCATCCCTCCTCCCCCTCCCGCCCTCTCAACGAGGAGGGGGGGGGGAGGGAGGAGGAATGGTCACGCATCACCAGGGAGGGAGTAAGGACGGGAGGGACGTTGGTGAGACGTGGAAGATGGGAGGAGCATCCTTCGCTCCTCTGCCTCCTCCTCCTCCTCCTCCTCCTCCTCACCATCATCATCACCATCACCATCACCATCACCATCACCATCACCATCACCATCACCACCACCACCACCACCAGCATCAGCATCAGCATCAGCATCAGCATCAGCATCAGCATCAGCATCAGCATCAGCATCAGCATCATCATCATCATCATCATCATCATCATCATCATCAGCAGCAGCAGCAGCAGCAGCATCAGCATCATCAGCTTCAGCTTCAGCATCAGCCTCAGCATTCATCATCATCATCTTCATCATCCATCATTCATCAGCATCACATCTGCATCAGCATCAGCATCGCATCAGCATTCAGCATCATCATCAGCATCATCATCACCATTCATCATCTGCATCATCAGCATCAGCATCTTCATATCAATCATTCTCATCATCATCATCATTCATCATCATCATCATCATCATCATCTTCTCATCATCATCATCTCATCATCATCATCCTCATCATCATCATCATCATCATCATCATCATCATCTATCATCGCATCTTCCTACCCCTCTGCCTCCTCCTCTCCTCCTCCTCCTCCAGCTCCTCCACCTCCTCCCCCTCCTCCTCCTCCTCCTCCTCCTCCTCCTCCTCTCCTCCTCCCTGGTCCTTCCCCTCCTCCTCCTCCTCCTCCTCCTCCTCCTCCTCCTCCTCCCCCTCCTCTTCTTTCTTCTATTCCAAAGCTTCGGGGATTGAGGGTCAGGGGGCTTTATTGGTTTCACCGCTTGAGGCTTCCAGAAATCGAAAGAGGTCTCTACAGTAGCGACCTCCGGAGACCTTCTCCTCATCCTTCTCCTCCTGGGCTCCTCCTCCCTGTTTGGCATTTGGGAGGCCGCCCCATCGTCACGGCTGGGAGGAACTTAAAAAACTGGTCGGGATGGACCCCGAGAGGGGTCTACGTAACAATAGATTTCGAACGGCTTTGTCCATTCCTTCGGCCTTCGCGACCTGGGGCTCTCAAAAAGCAGGATGGGATGAAGACCGACCTCCTGGAACATAAAGCTCGAGCGCTCCTGGGGCCCGTGCCATCGAAACAGCCCTGAAGTCGGACGTCTGCGGAGGAGGCGGGGATGACGGAGGGAGACCAGGGGGGGCAGGAGGGGAGAAGAAAGCGAGGGAGCGGGGGGAGCGACTCTGGGTACGAGTGACCTTCAATGCGCGGCTTCTTGGGGGCCGCAGGGGGGGGGCCAGGCACAAGCGCGCAAGACGCTACTGCCGCATCGCGTTCGGCGATCGGGGGACCCCTCTGGACCCGCACTGGAGGTCACCGCGGCGAAAGGCCACTCTTACGTGCAGTCGAGAGATGGGGGCTGGCCACGCCGCCGCGCGGCGGACCAGCGCGAAGCACAGCGGTGGCAGCACCAGGACAGGAGCGGCTGGCGTGGCGCCCGCGGGCCGAGCTCGACGAGCTGAGAGAGGGCGCTCAGCGGCCCAGCAACGGGGACTCCACTAGCGGGCACTTTGACCAGTGACCCGGCGAAACCAGTCCTTCCCGGCGTGGGCAACCGCTGCAATGACAGAGAGAGGCCCTGAAAGGGCAACTTCCTGCAGAGGCTTCCGAGGGGTGACCGTCGTTACGCTGCCGCTGAGGCGCCAGGGCGGCCCACCCGCCGGAGGTGCAGCGGCGCTGGGCGCCGGCGGCGCCCGTCGTCGCAGCCGAGGCGGCGAGGCGGCCGCCGAGCGGGCGGCAAGCACCGGAAAGCAGGGCACAAAGGGGGTCTTTCGCACAGAATGTAGTGCAGTGGAGGTTGGCGGGAGACGGCACGCGAAAGGGCACGAGGCACTTCCGAGGGCAGCACTGCCATAGGAATCCAGGAGTCATGGGTCGCGAAGCACACGACACAAGGGTACCCCTGATTTGGCAGGGGCAGGCTAGGAAGCGCATCAGACGAGAGCGGGGGAGAGCAGTGGGCAATAGCAATACCGTATGGTGGGTCGTGGCGACGGCTCCTGCGACACGCTATGCCTTGCAAGCTGATAGCGTGTCGCTCTGCTTCGTGCGACGGGAGACTTGGAAAAGCTCGGAACGTCGATGGTGGGGACTGGGACGTGGTTGTGGTGGGCCAGAACTGGCGGCGCGACAAGCTACGCGAATGTGCCTGAACGTAGACGTCCGTGCAAAAAACAACAGCATCGGTGGCAGACCAAATCACATGACCGAGCAGACAGGCAACGAAAGGGCAGCGGTGGATACCTCCAGGGGCCCAGATGTATCCACTGTCTTCCGATCCTAAGGGATCGGATTCCAACGCGGGAGTGATGGACAAAACTTTGGCGTCGGAATCCTCCTCCTCCTCCTCCTCCTCCTCCTCCTCCCCGCCCTCCTCTGCGGAGGCGCTCTGCCCTGGAGGGGTGACGCGTCATCAGCGCGAGTCCTGACGACAAGTATTCGCAGGCCGCCAACTCCCCCAGCGAGGCTTCGTGGAAGGAGCACACCACAGGGAAGCCTCCTCCCTTCCTCCCCCTCCTCCTCCTCCCTCCTCCGCCTGCCCCCTTCCTCCTCCTCCTCCTCCTCTCCTCCTCCTCCTCCTCCTCCTCATCCTCCTCCTCGCCTGCCCCTTCCTCCTCCTCCTCCTCCTCCTCCTCCTCCTCTCCTCCTCCTCCTCCTCCTCCTCCTCCTCCTCCTCCTCCTCCTCCTCCTCCTCCTCCTCCTCCTCCTGCGGGGGGGGGGGGGAAAGGGGGAGGGGACATTGCGTCCCCAGCAAGCACGCTGGTGGCAGCACGGTCCTTAAGAGAGCCCGCGGTGGCCACTGGGCGCAAACAGCCACATCGGGCATCGACTATCGGGTGCTCTTAGTGCTGAGTGGGGCGCCACCAGGGCCTCGAAGCCAGACCTGACATTCTACAAGAGCCCTCAGCAAAGACCCCCATCAAACCGAAGCCGAAGCACTCCTCTCGCTCCTCCTGCTCCTCCTTCCTCCCTCACTTTCTCTCTCTCCCCTCCTCCTCGCTCCATACCGCCTACGTCTCTCCCCCCCTCGTCCCTCCGACACCCCCTCCCTCTCAACCCGCCATGGAGGCCTCGTGGAAGTAGCGCGCCATGAGAAAGGAGAGCTCCACGTCGGAGGCCTCTCGGCATCGTGCACGAGGACGTGGGGCGAGGAGCGAGCGCCTTCTGAGAATGCGGGGGGACCGACTAGAAATCAGAAGCCCTCCCCAAGGCCTGTGAGAAGCCTTCGGCCCCTCCCCTTGCATCTCACATAGGCCGCCCCCACATGCCCTGGCTCTTCCTGCGAGGCCGCCAGGCCTTGCTGCTCGCCACCACGAACTTCGACGACTTCCGGCGCGTGATGTTGAGGAAGTCCTGGACGGACTGCGTGATCTCGTCTTTCGCCTCGGAGGGCGCCGCTGCCGCCGCTCCCGCACGGACCTCCTTCGCACTACCGTACCCACCGGGCCACCCTCGGAGTGCGACTGGGGCAGCCCTGGCGCGAACATGGCCCACGCACCACAGACCTCCGCCGGCACCCCTTCGGGACGCAAGGCTGCAACACCGTTGCCGGGCTGCTGCCTGGCTTTCGCTGTTCGGTCTTCTGCGGGGGGGCCTTCTCTTCCAGAGCGCTCTCTCGACGGGCGGAGGGCGGCCTGTCCCTCTACGGGGGGGATATCCAGAAATGGTCAAAAAATAGCCCAGGGACGATTGTTTCTACTATGTTTGACCATTTTGCAATATACGTTTTGCCTATTTGGGAGTTTTATCGTCCAAAATCCACCTGTAGGGACCTCCGGGTGCCGCGCGCGGCCTCCGAGGCGGCGCGGCTCCCAGGCAGCGCACCCGGCGTCGACCCAGCGGCGTCGCGCCCACGGCCAGAGCCCGAGACCCCAGCGACACGGGCTTTGAGCAAGGTCGTTGGCAGGAGGAGGGGGCGGGGGGAGGAGGAGGAAGAGAAGGAGGCGGAGGAGGCGGGGGAGGGGGGAGGGGGGAGGGGGGAGGAGGAGGAGGAGGAGGAGGAGGAGGCGGAGGAGGAGGCGGAGGCGGAGGAGGGGAAAAGGAGGAGGAGGAGGAGGAGGAGGAGGAGGAGGAGGAGGGGAGGAGGAGGAGGAGGAGGGAGGAGGAGGGAGGGGGAGGAGGAAGAGAGGAGGAGAAGGGAGGGGAGGGGGAGGAGGAGAGAGAGGGAGGGAGGATGGGAAGGAGGGAGGAGGAGGAGGAGGAGGAGGAGGAGGAGGAGGAGAGGAGGAGGAGGAGGAGGAGGTGGAGGAGGTGGAGGCGGAGGAGGAGAGGAGGAGGAGGAGGAGGAGGAGGAGGAACGGAACGGCGGTCCGCGGAGGAGAGGTCGAACCTCTGCTGCCGGGCGGGTGCTGAGCCCATATGGGCCCAACAGCCAGAAAAGGAGGAGGAGGAGGAGGAGGAGGAAGTGAAGGGAGGATGGGTTCCGGAGGGCGGCCGGTTCGGGGCTCGCCCTGTTGAGCCGCTTGACGAAGATGGGGTTCTCCACGGCCTGCGGCAGGGCCATGAGCACCTCGGCCAGAAGCCTCCTCCTCCTCCTCCGAGGGGAAGGGGCGGAGGAAGTGGGGGGAGGAGAACGAACGAGGGAGACTGTGACATGTTCGGGTTGAGTCGATCTTTGCGTTGGTTTCTGACAGGCTAGCCAGCATATGTTAACCAGCGTGACCCCACACAGTGGATTCTTGCAGTCTATGCGGTGCAATCTATGTGGTACAATATACTTCCACTGCTCGCGCAAACATCCCACCCTCCCACCCGCAACTTGGTCGCATGACCTCTTAAGACCGTGACGGTAAGTACCAAGTGGCACTTGGCAACGACACCGACGCCGACGACGACGGCGACGACGACGACTACGACGACGACACCGACAACGACTCCGACGACTTCGACGACGACGACAACGACGACGACGACGACGACGACACCGACGACGACGACGAAGACGACGACGACGACGAGGGAGGAGGGAGGACGACGACGGCGACAGCGACAACGAAAACGACGACGTCGCCAACGAGGACGACGACGACGACGACGAGGGAGAAGGGAGGATGACGACGGCGACGACGACTACAACGAAGAGGGAGGAGGGAGGACGGCGACGACGCGAACGACGAAGAAGGAGGGAGGACAGCGACGCCGACGACGACAACGACGAGGGAGAAGGGAAGACGACGACGACGACGACGGACAACGGACGACGACGACGACGACGAGGGAGGAGGAAGGACGACCAGGGCGACAACGACGACGGAAACGACGACGACGCCAAAGAGGACGCCGACGACGACGACGACGAGGAAAGACAGAGGACGACGACGGCGACGACGACGACGAAGAGAGAGGAGGGAGGACGGCGGCGACGACGACGACGACGACGACCACGACGAGGAAGGAAGAAGGACGGCGACGTCGACGAAGGCGACGAGGGAGGAAGGATAATGACGACGACGACAACGACGGACGACGACGACGAAGAGGACGACGAACGACGACAACGGCCATGACGAGGAAGGAGGGAGGACGGCGACGCCGACGACGACGAGGGAGGAGGGAGGGCGACGACGACGACGACGACGACGACGACGACGACGACGGCGACGAGGGAGGAGGGAAGACGACGGCAACGGACGAAGACGAGGGGGTAGAGAGCTCCAGCGAACAAGACGTGAGTCGAGAGCTTCTGGACGCCGACGACGCCGACGCCGACGACGAGGGAGGAGGGAGGACGACGACGGGAACGACGCCAACGACGGCGACGACGACGCCAACGACGACGACGACAACGACGGCGGCGCCGCCGACGACGACGAGAAGGATTTCGGCATCCGCGCGCGGCGGCCGCGCGCATGTGACCCGCATGGTGTTTTTTACAAGGGATTGTGGCCCTGGCCATGGACGCCTTGTCGTCGACGATTACGGGACGTGGCGCGCATCGCACGAGCAAGGGCGAAATCTCGGTCTCGCATCGGCGCCGCGCTCCATGTTCCTGCGAGCAGTGCTCCCGTCAGGGCGCGGCGCACAGTCTCCGCTGGCCGGCTGGACGACAGTGGTCGCGCGCGGGGCAGCTGCCAGGGGCCGACTCTCAGCCCAGCCGCCGCCCACACGCTCCCCGCAGCCTGCTGTGTGAGTCTGCCCCCGCGCTCTGCCCCCTCCTCCGCGGCCGTCTCCCTCCTCCCCTCTCCTCGTGCCTGCGGGCTGATTCGCGCTGCTGTGCCCCGGCCTCGCTCCGACGCGCGTGCGGATCGCCCCTGCCGCGCTCCGACGTTGAAAAGTTGCGCGTCGAAGCGGTTATATCGAGGCACCTACGGTCATACGACCACCCAGCGGGTGATAAGGAGGTTGGGGGGGGAGGGGGCCAGCAACGGGCAACAGTGGTGATTGTTGTTCTGACGATGCCAGTGGAGATCGTTGCGTTGCCGCTCGCTCTTGGTAGCCTTGGTGTCGAGTTGTTTACGTCACCCTTCGCTCTTGGGCGCCTTGGTACCATTCCCCCCCCGCGCGCCACCGGTTGCCGATGGGACACCGATGCACCGACGGGACACAATCGATCTCACTGTCGATCTCACTGTCCATCCCACTATCGATCCCACTATCGATCTCGCTATCGATCTCGCTATCGATCTCGCTTTCGATGTCACTATTCATCTCACTATCGATTCCACTACCGATTTCGCTATCAATCCCACTCGATCGATCTCACTATCGATCTCACTACCGATATCACGATCGACCTCACTATAGATCTCACTATCGATCACTCACTATAGATCTCACGATCGATCTCACTATCGGTCTGATGTTCGATCTCACTATCGATCTCACTGTCGATCTCACCAAGGGACACCACGGGACAACGACGGGACACTGGCGGGACACCAGCGGGACACCGGCGGGACACCGCGCGCCATCAGTTGCCGGGCGGAGAACCTTTTGGTCTGGCCGCGGCCCAGCAACGACGGGACACTGGCGGGACACCAGTGGGACACCAGCGGGACACCGGCGGGACACCGCGCGCCACCGGTTGCCGGGCGGAGAACCGGTTGGTCCAGCCGCGACCCAGCCACAGGAGAATTTCCTCCCCCGCCCACGCAGCTTCGCCTCGCCCGCACGCACGGTACGAACACGAAACCGAAATCGATTTTCCGGTATGGGGGGCTCTCCGTTCCACTTCGATCTCACCCCCCAACCTCCGATGCGTAGTAGGTGGCCCGACCACAAGAAACCTTCCACAAGAATTCCGACCCTGAGACCCCAGGACGTCCATCGATGTTTGGTGTGGGAACGTCACGCTTTCCACAGCAAAACCATCGAACCCAAGAAACCCAGGGCACCCTTGAGGCGAGCAGGGTGTTTCTTGGCACGGGTCCCCACTGTAAGCCCCTGTGCGCGCCGCCACGGGGTGCCACAAGAGAGCTCGGGCTGGTGACGCTCCTGGCGCGGCGCGGCGGGGCACAGTGCGTAACACGATGGCACGGCGCGGGCACGCCGGGAGACGGCACCAACGGCGCGGCGGGCTCACTGGCAGCATGGCCGGGAAGAGTGGAGCGATCGTCGGGCGGGGGATAGCGGGGGGAGGGGACCTACAGCGTTCTGGGGATGGGACATGCAGCCAGGCATCTGATCAAGAAAACCATCATATAAGAAATCTGGGCCAGCTTCCCCGAAGCGCCTTGTCCTAAAGCAGACCTGGGCCACTGCCTGTTATGGACGCTGGAGGGGCGAGTGTGCTCGAGAAGCTGGGCCAGCTTTCCAGCAAGCTGGTTGAGAAACGCGGGCCCAGCTCTTCGGACGGAGGTTGCTCAATCAGATGCTCGACGGTGGGCAGGTGAGGAGAAGAGAGCCCTGAAGGGGCCCCTGCTGGCTCCCAAAAGGGCCACAGAGGGCCCCGTTAGGGCCTTACCACCCATCAGCACCCGCCCGAGTGGAGCGATCGGCCAGCGCCACTCTTTGCGGCCTCGGTGCCGAAAGCCGCGCAGCCCTCGCCACTCTTGGGAGATGCCAGGAACACGCCCCGCGGCGTCAGTGCTTGAAACAGCCCTGGTCCCCTGCGTCACGCCGTCCGCACCCCGCTTTCCTCCTCCTCCTCCTCCTCCTCCTACTCCTCCTCCTCCTCCTCTTCCCTCCTCCCTCCTCCCTCCTCCCTCCTCCCTCATCCCTCCTGCCTCCTGCCTCCTGCCTCCTGCCTCCCTCCTCCCTCCTCCCTCCTCCCTCCTCCCTCCTCCTCCCTCTCCTCCTCTCTCTCCCCTCCTCCACCTCTTCCTCCTCTTCCCCCCCTCCCTCCTCCTTCATTCCTCCTCCTCCCCCCTCCTCCTCTTCCTCCTCCTCCTCCTCCTCCTCCTCCTCCTCCTCCTCCTCCTGGGACCCCCTTGGACTGCAATCGGCGTTGCGTACTTGCACACTCCCGTCCGTAACTTCCTGGTGAACTCTTGCGTTGACAATCGAGTTCCGTGCTCCGAAATCCCCCTCTTCATCTGCCTCCTGCTTCTGCTCCTGCTCCTGTTCCTGCCTCCTCTTAGCTCTCTCCTGCCTGCTCAGGAAGAGGAGGGCGAGGAATAGTAACAGAAAGGCCGAGGAGGCAAAGGCACAGGCGATTGAATAAGACGAGGCGGTCGTGAGGATGATGACTATTATGATAACCTGGAGGCTGAAAAAGTTCCAGGCACCCAGCGTTTACTACAACAACACAAGAATGGACGAAACGCATTTCCCGACCCTTGAGCCTCTGGAGAAAGGAGGAGGGAGATTACCTGGAACTTCCGAGAACGCCGTGGAAGCCTGTAGTGCCCTAGACCGCCTTGCAGAACAATCGTCACCCTTCATGTCCTTCCACTCTTACTCATTCCGCCCCTTCCTCTCGAGAAGCCGTCGGAAATCTCTCATCCCCCAACGAATAACCAAAAAAGCAGAGCTCGTCCGAAATCCACCGGAAATGCATCGTCGTCCTCTTTCCCCTCATCCTCCGTCTGCCCCCCCTTCCCACCTCTTCCCTACCAACTTGATATGGTTATCCCGCGCGCCCCATGGTCTGGCGGGTGGAATGCTTTCCGTGGCGCCCGGGCTGGCTCATCGCTCATAATGTTCGCTCCCCAATGCGTTTGACAATGATCTAGCAACATGCCATCGTTCACTGCCCGACCCATGGTCGAATCAGGCTGCTAATCCAAAATCACCGTCCCTCCCCTTGTCCTTCGCCGTCCCACCCCATCCCCCGCCACACGCGTGCGCACGGGAGCGCGCGAGTGTGCGTGGAGCGTGGAGCGGGGAGGACGGGCGCTCGCGAAAGTGCGCGCGGATGGCGATAATGAGAAGGATGAGGTGCGGGAGAAGAGGGGCCCAAGCGATGTGCCACAATTTGAAAACCACCCCGCCCTGCTTCCGTCAGCGCATGTGTTGCAAGCGGCACGAATTTGCACGACGCCCAGGCGACAACCAGCTCTTGAAAACAAATCGCTCTCCTTCCGTGCGAATAATGGGACTTTCAAACTTCAGGTCCACACACCGCGCAGA